GTTTTGTTGTGTGAAAGGGTCAGAGGTCGTGGTGGGGCTCTGTGAATCTTTGTAGATCTTGGTTTAGTGCCTGTGGCTGGAAATGGAGGGATACGTGGATTTGGACATGGTGTTTGTTTGAAATAAAAACTTAAATCTTAAATAAATGTTCACACATCTCCATCTCCTTCCTCCTCAGACAACCCTGACCCACAGACCCCTCCCCGACAAGAGACATTTCAACAGCACGACAGCAAAAATCACGCTTTTGGGTACTTGCGCAGGGCGCACCCACCCTCGCCAGTGTGGATGTTATAAAAAGTTCACTTTTTAAAGTCTGTATTTGTCACGTGTGCATGGCTGTGGGGATGTGAGACGATGAGCTGCAGATAACAGAGCAGGCAGGAGGGGGAGGAAGGGGGAGTAGAGTGGTGAACTTATTTCTAACTTTATCTGACTTATTTTATTTATTGTTTTAACTGTCCTGCAGGCTCTGAGAGAAAATTAATTTGAAGCTGGGTTTTTGAAAAAAAATGTGAAATTGCTCTAAACCAGGGGTTCTTAAATTTTTTGGTTTTGGGGACCCCTTGCAAGGATGAAAAATTACCAGGGACCCCCTCATAAACCCCAGATTGTTTTAAAAGTAATTTACTTTCATTTTAACCCCTAAATGTCATGGGAATGTTAGTTTTTGTTTGGTTTAGTATGTTTGTTTGACTAGTGCATTGTTCCCCATATGCTTTTTTGAAATAAAAACCAAGTTAACAAGATTTATTGAAATTTTTGAGGACCCCCAAGATACAGCTCATGGACCCCTGGGGGTCCTGGGACCCCTGTTTGAGCAGTTGTCAGTCAGCACCTGTCATCCTCCAGATGCACGAAGGAGCGCGTGTCTGAGCCAATCTCTTTAGTTGGCATTGATCAGCTGACTGATTTAAATACACCCTATGGTTGGATGTGGGCGTGTAGAGGACAGAACCTGAAGCAGGACCTTGAGCGCAAACTCTGAGGTGAAGCTGTGATCTATAAAAGATGCGCAGAAAAATGCGTACGCACGGTTTTATAAATCTGAATTTATTTATTTTTTTGGCGTACGCCATTTTCGCCTTTTGGCCGTACGTTCACTTTTAGTATGGTTTCCACGCAATCCTTTGTAAATCTGACCCCAGCACTGGACACACCTGTGTTAGCCTGTCAGTCCTGGTAAACCTGAACTCTATTTCTCCAAACGGAGGCCGGTCAGAAATTACAACAGGTAGGATCTTAACTCTGCAAAACCTTACAGAACTTCACTTGAAATTGGACAGAATGCCACTTTAAAACTGTTCAACATCAATGACATTGTTCAAAACAAAACACATCTAATCTAACTGCAAAGAGCATCCATTTATTCTGATGTATACAGTGGTCGAGACAGATGATTCTTATAGGGGCGGACCAGAACATGACAGTTTGCTGAGGATCTAATCGTGCTTCTTGGTCATTCTCTCATTTATGTAGAATTATATCATGAGAATTACTTATCTGAGCTGTGCAGTCAAAATGAACATGCTGCGTTTAGAAAGCTTTGCCAAAACTTTGCTGGCAAAACAGTGATGAATATTTATCTATGGTGACCACGGTCACCCCCTGAATCTGCCCCGAAGGTTCTGTCACACTGAACATTTTAGACAACTGACTTAAGGGCTCGACACACGGGGAGCTACAGACTACAGCGATTAACGGCTGTCATTGCAGCCAGGTTGAAACCCGACACACGGGACACGATAGCAATCACAGCGTTRYGAATCGCGCTCTCAGGTCGCTTGTCTTCATGAAATTTGATTGGTTCTTGACTCTGAAGGCGGGTGTGCATTACGGACGTGTAAACTAAACAAATCTTGCGATGCTAATGAT